CCAGGCCCGTGCTTTAACCACAAGACAATCCTTCCCATGGCTTCACCTGCAACTGCAAGCATGCACTTAGCCTCGATCTGTTTCCACCTAGAACGCTGGACAAATAACGGACTTGTCATTTCCTTGGCAATTTCAAAAAGTCGGCTAATAAATGTTTCAGGTCAAACAAAAAGGTTTTCTGTTGATTTCAACCATTTTGAAACATTTTTGGATTTTTTTTTAAATAAAATTAAAACCAGAGTGCAACTAGCGATCGCCAAACCAATAGACCTAGACTTCCCAAACGCAGCCAGAATGTCCTAGTATGTTTCCACGAAGAGCTCCACTAACATTAACCAGCCTGCACAACCCTTCTGGGGCTGGCCACTATTATTATTCCCATTTCACAGGCACAGAGCCCAAGACAGACAAAGTTGAATTCAGGAGACTTGCCCATCACCACAGATGGAGAGCTCATGGGAGCCAGTGCTGGAACACAGGAGTCCTGAACCCCTCACCCTGCAGCTCACCTCTCCAACAGCTCCTGACTCTGGCTGTGGTTCAGACAAACCCTGATTGATTCATTCCCCTCCCAAGCTCCCGCTTTTCAGTGTTGCAAGTGCCAAAATACATCGATGACACCTGTTCCTGCAGTATTTCTGGCCTGTTCTCACCAGATTTTGGAACAGCACCAAACTTCTGGATGCTCACAGTATTCCCAGCCCCACACATTCAAACATCAGGAGTCAGGGCCCAAAATATCATGAGACTGGCTTAAAAATCATGATTGTTTTAAAAATGAAAACTGAGATTTGCCCTTTATCACATGCCTCCAGGAGCTGGGGATTTAAGAAAAACCACCAGCTATCACAAGACTCACGATAAAATTGCGAGAGTTGGCAACGCTCTGAGTGGACCTAGCTACTCAGAGCTCTGAACCAGCCAGGGTAGCCTCAGGGCCGGCTCCAGGCACCAGCCTGGCAAGCAGGTGCTTGGGGCGGCCGCTCCAGAGAGGGGCGGCACGTCCAGGTATTCAGTGGCAATTCGGCGGATGGTCCCTCGCTCCCGCTCGGAGCGAAGGACCTCCCGCCGAATTGCCGCCGCAGATCGCGATTGCGGCTTTTTTTTTTTCTTTTTTTTTTGGCTGCTTGGGGCGGCCAAAACCCTGGAGCCGGCCCTGGGTAGCCTCCATGCACCAGTGTCCAGTTTCTCCTCCACAGGCTAAAAAGATCTTTAAAAACATAGATGAGTTTTGTACACTCAAGGCCCTAATTTCTGGTGCCCAAAATTCAGACAGAAGAAAAGCCTCCACGCATTGATTGTATGTAACAGATTTTATTACATTAAACAATAATCATCTGATGCCAACAAATCGAGAGAAGTTGAAAACAGGCGCTTCCAATCTCTGCATAAGCCAGAGAAATCCCAGTGAGTTTTCCAAGCGCCGCACCTCTTACTCTCTTCGTGTGCTAAGGCCATGAGAAAGCAGCAAATCGATCATGAACCCTCCCCCTGGGAGGAGAGGAAAAGAGAGGGGACGGAAGAATAGAGAAACTTCACAAGTGAGATGGCCACACAGTGTTGGTCACCAAGAAGCTGTGAAGAGTGAGAAAGAAAGAAAGAAAGCTGTTTCATGTTTACTTTCTTTTTTAAATATAGAAACAAAATTTATTTTAAAAAATAAATGTATTTTAAAACCAGTGAGCAGCTTTTAAGTCTAACTGAGGACTGTAGTGATCGATTAGTAGTCTAAGAGAAAGCAGATCAGATTAAGCATCGCCATTGGTCCTAGCCACCTAGCTCCACCTTGGGAGAACCAAAAAGCACAGGAAAGGGAGGTAAATATTTATTCTCCAAACACAAACTGCTGCCTGCTGATTAACAAGACAAATAACCTGCCTCTGAGACAGGAGCAATGAAATTTGTCAACTCAACAGTCTCCGTGTGCCGTCTGCCCCTCCCTTCACCTGAGACACTGCCGTGGGGGTGAGGGGTGAATTTCAGCCCTACGCAGGGGCCCGGAATGGGCCCTGTGTATTTAAGAGCATATGTGGGATTTCAGTGGTGGAAAGGCCAGACCTTTCTTCCCTCATTAGCACCCGACTGTGTCCTTTTCCCCATGACGGTGTAAAATCTAACCTAGTTGTAAAACCTCCTCTCCAGTTTTCTTGAAATTGTCCTTAGAAATGGGGCAAAACTGGAAGCTCAATTCCAAATATTCCCCCACAAACGCGATGGATTTGGCGTGGATCCAGCGGTGAATGGGATCTGTTTTCAGACTGGATGCAGCCAATATCTCCAGGGGAACAGCATAAGATGGCGAACCTCTCATACAGCCAGCGGCTCTTTCCAGAAGTCCTCCATTGAAAATGGCCCAAATCACCAGAATCCCACAAGACAACATTTCACAAGAACAGCTCACACCATTTTTGCACCTGTCAAACCTGAACCACAACCCAATCCCTGATCCTGATCGCTGTGTTACACGGGCGTGAATCAGGAGATTCCACTGAATTCAACAGAGTTGCACCAGCATTAGCTCTGAGTCACGTCCACAGCTCCTTGGGGCCCATCTCCTGCCATTTCACCCTGTTGCAGTATTGTATACTTGACCATCATTACTATAGTACTGTGCAGTAACAGCCTCAGACTCTGCAGTAACACTACGCTGCAGCGTTAGGGATTATTGCGGCCGTACGTTTTCCTAAAGGCTTGCACTAGTGAGCACAAAATGCAGCGATCTTGCTAAACAGGCTGAGTTTAAGGTAAAAACTTCCCCCACCTCCCTTTTCAAACAAAATACAAGTGCTTTTTAAATTCTAAACAATATAAATGTTATAACAACACAGATCAGCACTAACTCAATTTAAGCCCCTCCCCCCCATTTTATCTATTCTGTAGCAATTGGAAAACATTTACCTCCACTGTAAACCCAAGAGCAAATTCAGTCTTGTTTGTAGCACCAAGTTCAGATTAGAGCCCAGACCACGGCTAGCAGCTTCTGTTCACACACAAGCTCAGCAGGGAAGGTGGGTTTAAAATAACAATTGCCTGGTATCTTAATGCCAGCCCCCACGGGACAGAGTGTCAATATAATGCTGTCACCGTGCAAGAGGTAAGTGTCACGAAAGGACCGTGACCCCGGAGCGCCTACTCTCCATGCTGGGCCGAACACTTAGCGCATCCCAAAGGGGGGTGTATTAACTTCTCCCTTGTGC